GTGTTAGGAAGGGAAGGCAGAACAGGATAGCAGATAGTACTTTACTGTCACTTGTTCTTCTTTTACATCAGCGTTGTCTTCTGTCGTCGGTAGCTCGTCTCGGCCAACAGCACGTCTTGTTACTAGCAGCAGAATCTCGGGTCGTCGGCAGCGTCAACAGTGCGGCCGCCTTCAGTGGAAGCAGCATATTTAAGGGCAAGTATTCATTGCTCCCCATTGGCGGTGTGCGCGCGCTTGCTTACGCGCGCCTGTGCATATGTCCTCAAAGTGACCCCCAGACAACAGCAATCCGGCCCCGGGGCAGCCTCACTTGCACGTGCCTACTTTGTCCTAGCCTAATGTCCGCCCTTTGAAGGTCGTTTGTAACTGCATGAACCGGTCGTCAGTAAGGTCCCTTTTTTCTGCTACTCTCAGGATTGCCCGAGTGATAACTCGCGTCCGGGACGTCTCGACATTATCATTGCCGATAAAGGCAAGGAGAAGACTGAAACGGCCATTTGTTGCTCATTAGCCGTCATAAACCAGTCATACCCAACCCCGAGTGGTACACCACCCGAGGCTCGAGTCTCTGCATTGCCTGTAGGCGAATTCCAGGGGGCAGTGAAGAGGAAGAAGACTTATTTGCTGAAAAAAAACATATATATATATATATATATATAGTTGGTAGTATAAGCAGCGGTCGTAGCAGTAGTATATATATATGCAGAAGGACATTACCTACAAAGACGTGGGACACTAGAATGGCCTTTTCTGGCTCATTAGCCGTCGTCAGCTAGTGATACCCAACTCCAGTGTTGCTGTTACACCCGAGTTTCGAACTCGCGTCGCTCCGGTCAGAAGCAGGCGTACTAACCATTGAGCTGCGAGCTCGCAGTCTTGCCGATATTAGATCGGAGATATATATATTTTTTGAAAACGGAATTTTGTTTTTGATTTGTGCTTTCTAACGGCAAGACGACGGGCCCTTGGCGCAGTGGTTAGACCATTGGACTTCTAACTAACGAAGTCGCGGGTTCGAGCCTCGAGGGTCGCCACCCGATCGGCTTGGGTATGGCTGGCTGCTGACGGCTAAGGAGCCAGAAATGGCCATTTCGGTCTGGCCGGTCTTTGTCAGTAG